TAATTTAATAGGGTAGTATTTTTTATTTTCAAATTTAGTGGATAACAATTGTAAAAAATGAGTGAAAACAATCCCACGGACAATGCGACGGATTTAAGGTTATGTCAAGGTACGTTTCTTGTGAGTATCAATTGATTGTTAGGTTTTCTCTTCTGAAATTACATTATGACGCATTCACATACATTATTAATACAAATACATTTTACAAGGCGAGACGATGAGGCAACCACAAGCACTGGTTCAAGAGGTTCACGAGGGGAAAATGCACAATATTACCGTGATTACAGAGCACGGAAGCGAGCGGAGCAGGAAAAAGAGTCGTTGAATAGATCCTTCTACGACTGCTGATTCTTCTGCAATTAACGTCGCAGGTTGCGAAGTTTAACTTCTTCCGCGCGGAGGGACTCTACGCACTATTTTTATTTATTTTTTTTTGCTATATTAATTAAAAAACTTAGTGGAAGAAGCAGGTAAATGACATTTTCAGAATGAAAAAATTTTGTATCCAAACTATTTTATTACTAATTTAGTAGAAGGCGGGACGAATAATTTTTTGCTTCATTGTGCCTAATTTTAAATAAAACCAAATTACCTAAAAAATAAAACTTTATTGCCTAATTTGAAATAAAAATCATGTTAACATACTAAAAATTTATGTTATTAGTTATGTTAAGATTTAAAAGAAGGCAAAAGCAGTGATTCATTAATTCCCCTAAAGATGTCACTTACCTGGTTCTACCATCAAGCTCTTCAATTGTGTCGGTATATGCTTTTTAGTTATAAGATTTCGTAGTGTTTTTTTACTCTGATTTATTGATTCTTTACTTATTTTTTTATTCATCGCGTGCGAAGAACGGGTGTTCAACTAGTAATCTATAAATGAATGTCTGTCTCTGTGTAGATGCTTAAACCAGCCAACCGAAATCGATGTAACTGGGTATATAGATACTTTGAAGCACAAGGAAGGTCACTGACGACATTAGAACATTCTACGACGAACGTTCGAGTGGGGTGAAAGAAAAACGAAATGGAATTTTCTGATTGGCTAAACGTTAGCCATTGTTTTAAATTTACCTATAGACAATTCAATCTATTGCTTGCTTTATAGAAATTACATACAATTGCAGGCTTATAAGCTTTTGTCAAGTAGAAAGACAGATAGAACAATTCAGAGAAGGACATCACGAAGAATACATCCAGGATAACGGCGGGATTTGAACCCGCTTCCTCCACGCGTTGCACAGCGTTTGGCCGATGATACAGGAAATCAATCTATCATATATTTATTAAATAGTGTATCATAAGATAACATCTGATAATTTCAAGCTTATAGCTCTGTTCGATCAACAAAAAAATGGATTGTTACACTTTCTAAAGCGAACGCAATGACCTATAGCGGCCGTTGTTATTTGTGACGAATTCTTATTTTATAATTAATTAAATATAGTTATAATTAATATTATCAATTCTGAATGTCATCAGCAATGTTGATGACTTTAAAAAAAATTCGGGATCTTTATATAAGAAAACTAGATCATATAATATAGCAAATTATTTTCTGACTTAAAAGAATGAGACCACATCAGTCGAAAATGGTTTTTATGTTAGAGAAACACAAAATTTAATTGTGATCTTACCCTAAATCCAAGATCTTCAGTTCTGGCGCATGCGTGGGAAAATGAGATCTGTCAATGCTCTCCAATAAATTGTCCCTCAGCTCAAGTGTCTTTAGAAAACGAAGTGGTGCGAAAACATTCGCTCCAAGCCACCTTAATTGACACTTCAAAATTCGAACAGCAATCACTCTTCCATTTGCAACTCTCCCGAAATCGGAATGCAAATAAAGCAACTTTGACCGTATTGCTGTAAATTCAAGTCCTCCAGGTGGCGAAATATTCAAATCGAATAAAGCTGTCCATCTCCAACCTATCATTTCTGAGAGATCGCAGATATAAAACGCTACTGAATGGAACCACGAATTGGTGAACAAGGAAAAACCGGGTAAATTTGGGAATAACAGCTGGATTTTGCTATTCTCTTCGATTCTGAGTTTAAAACTGTGGATTTGACCTAAGTGTGAAAAAGAACCATTTGGAAACGCTGGCATGGAGAAGTTTTTCAGTGTCAGCTTGAATTCGTTGTCCGAATAGGGAGGAATGCAATGATGTAAGTCTGCCACGATCGATTCGAAATCCTCATAGCTTCCATCTGATAGCTGAACATCACATATCAGATTCACTGATTTCGCTGAAAGTGAGCAGCTTGTGAGGACCAAATTTATAAAAATAGCCAATTTCCACATATTACCCTTCGGTTGATTCCCAATCTAAACAGAATCGTTCGATAAAATTCGAATTTCATTATTTGCTTGTGTAGAAGAGCGAGGAAAATAAAGTTATGACTCTAGCGAGATCGAAAAATATTGTCAATAAAAATCAATGCAGATAAACTGTTTTAAGTGCTGATAAAGTAATCGTGATCTGTCACACCTTTTGACTTGCCACTTATTTTTTACTTTCAAGGATAAGAACATTTTAACCTTAACACATACAATATGTTTTCGTTGATAACAATGCTAGATTATAATTTTCCCTGTCTTATTTTTATTATTATTTTTATTTGTCTGAGGAGAAATATTATAGCGACATAGAATTTTTCATAGCTTCGTTAACCCTTTAAAATTTCTTTAAAATAATCTATTAGATTGATGAATATATATATATATATTCGCTGTTTTATACTACGCAGTTATTTGTTTATTTTGTGTGCAAATAATAAATTGTAACATTGCCATCATAGGTGAAAAAAGGTGATCTTTCATCATGTAAAAAAGCTGAAGTGAAGGCCCTCGTGAATGATAAAATATTTTCAAAATGCGAAACATCATGAAGATTAAAGGTTTCTGAAGCTAGTGTACGACTCATAAAAAAAAAAATTGTCAGATGACGAATTGTGTTCAAACAAAAGAAAAGATGCAGCCGAATCTAATGGTGAGTCTAATAATTTGGAGAGATCTCGATATGAATTTCAATATGTAACTTAAAAACATTATAGTCGAAATTATTCATTCAAAAATACTTACCAAGGAAACTATAAAAGATTATTAATAATCAACACAAATGATACTATTTCAAGTAAATCGGATGATTCATTTACTGTTGTTTTTCGAATTATATAGATACAGAATTATATACTATTTTATAACGAGGAATATTCTATAACTATTACAGTTCTGCACGTTCTAAAATCACATTTATTCATTGGAATGAAGCAAGCAATATTGACTTCACTTTAATTTGTAATAAATTGAAGACAAAAAAAAAATGTATTTTACCGTAATACACACATCAGTAACAGCATGGGATTACGAAATCGGAAGTTGTTGTTGTCGTTACTTTACGTCGCACTAGAGCTGCACAATGGGCTATTGGCGACGGTCTGGGAAGCATCCCGGAGGATGATCCGAAGACATGCCATCACAATTTTGATCCTCTGCGGAAGGGATGGCACCCCCGCTTCGGTAGCCCGACGACCTGCGCGCGAATTCGAGCACTTTACGGTAGCACAGTTTAACGCGGACCAATACCGCACACCCTCGGTCCCTACGCAGACTGATCCAAGTGGTCACCCACCCGCACACTGACCGCAACCAGTGATGCTTGACTTCGGTGATCTGCTGGGAACCGTTTCTTAACGATCAGTCCACTGCGGAACCGTTCTGTTTCAGAAAGATTTACCAATGTTCTGGGTCGCCTTTTCAAGTTCTTCAGCCTTTTCCTTAGGGAAATTTTGTTTCTTATTTGCAGCTAAGAAAAATGGCGTTCTACTCTATCAATGATTATGATAGAACTAAATGAAAACTTAAATAATTGCAGTTTAAATGCGCGTACAAATATAAATAAATGCTGTATAATTAGAATAGGTGTTTTAGTTTGGCACTGAATTAGTTTTCAAGGCCAAGGAATTGGCGTGTTGGCTATATTGTAACACTGGTCAGCCAGCTCTTTCCATTCTCCTTGCCTTTGCTTATTTGTCCTATCTCTTGTGCAGTTCTTATTTCGCTTTCTTTCACTCGCATCGCTTAATTGCTCTTTTGTTTTTTACTAGTTATTAATTTCTTGTTTTTTACTACTTATTTATTGTTAGCTCGTTTTTTATAGTTATTAATTTTTTTTTTTGTTGTTGCATTAATTTTTAATATTTTGTTGTGATTCCCTGCTAGATTTCGTTTTCTTCTTTTCTTTTCTAATTACTAAATGTTAGCTGGTTTTTTTTTTTTTTTTTTTAGTTCGTTTTTGTAGTGTAAGAAACAACNGCTCGGCTTTTTCTTTCTCTTCTTGACGAAGGCGCTCGGCGTCTTCAACTAAATTTTCTACCATTCCTCGAACCATTTCTTCATCGTATTTCTCGCTATTCAATATTAACTTTCTCAAGTCAGGGATTTTCAAAGTAGTAGACGAAACATCTTCAGATAACTCATTAGCTACGTAACGTAACTGATCTTTGCGAAGTCGCGATAAAAATGCCATTTCAAACTCAAAACTCAAAATTAATTACAGTTGCCTGTTAATCCCACTTCTGATAATGTAAGAAACAACTTTTAAAAGAAAAACAAATCAATACTTTATTAAAATTTACACACACCGTTATTCTAAAAACTCAAAATCTATATCGTACACAAGAACTGCTGTTGCCAAAACATGGAATACTAAATATGCAATAAGAAAATAATTAATGTTCACGTGCACACTTTTACAGTAGCTATGAATTGTATAGTTGGTTTTAGTTGTCAGCTTGTATTATTTTGTTACTTATTATTCGATGGCTTTTTTTTTTTGTAAATTATTAATCTTCAGCTTGCTTTCCTTTTTTAATTATTAATTTTAATAGTCAGAGTAAATTCCTTACTTATTTTTTTATTTTAACATTTTATGCATATCAGAGACAGGACCATCACGGACAAAGATGTTTACACCATCAAAGCGTGGAAAAATTATAAAAAGTGGTACTCACTGAAACATTTTAAATATTCATTCACAACTAATAAAAGAAAATCCGCATGAAAGTGTCACTCAAATATGCGACAAAGTTACTACACTTACTGGCTGTTCAAAAGAACACAATACTTTTGATAATTTTATTCAGAACTATGGCAATTTAAGAGTATTTATAATTATTGTCCTATCAAGAGGATCGAAAAATAATTATTCAAAAAAATGGACATGAATGAAATGAACATGACTATGAGCAACAAAAAAACTATCTATTTTGTGTTGATATTTTATTACATACATAACAAAAACAGGGTTACTCAACATTAGAAACTTGATTGTTAAAAAAGTAGAACATATGAACATAAAACACAAAAGTTGAACATAAAATATGAGGATAAATCACTTCACATGAACATTAATATAATTGCTGCAAAACTAATTTGCTTTCAAAAAATTCTTAAAATATTAGAATAAATTTTATAGAATGTCTGTTACAAATTTTAAAAATTTTTTTCATTAAGAAACATGCAAATGCAATTTTAAAGTAAGATCATTTTATTTTAAATTGAATATAAACAAAACAAAAAATAGAAATATTTTGTAAAAGATATGGAAATTGTACTAAAAATAATAAATTTTAAAAAACATCTTTTTCTAAACTTCATTTCTGTATCCATTATGCTGTAATACACAGTATAAGTAGAAAATTAATTCATATATAAGTAATTAATTAATATAAGTATAAAATGTGCTAAACCATTAAAAGAAAAGAACTACAAATTAATATCACACACTTATACACAAAGATCTTATAACAAAAAAGTTATTTAACCTTTTCCAGGGGGCTGTGACAGCAGTTGTCACATCTGATCTTGGGTTCCACTGGTGGGCATGTGACACTTTCAGTTTAAGAATAGGGGAAGGAATCTCTTCCACAGTTAAAACAGAGGATCAAGTTACAGAGGGATGTGTTTTATTGTTTTAGTCAGTACATTTACCTTTTTAAGTTAAGGGGAGAAAAGTTTCTTTGCATTTCCCACCTATCTTCAAACATCTATTCCAAGCTTGGGTATTTTTTTGTTTGTCTGCCGTTTTCTGACTTCTTTAGTCAGTTTCAATGTTGCTAGTTTTTTGTTCTAGTTGTAAGTTTTTTTTTGGGGGGATAAATTAATTTCTTTATTACAAATATAATTTAGCGAATATTTTCAATTGTATATAAAAGATATGGAATAATCAGAATCGAAAAGAGCTCTTTTAAGTAAATTGAAATAAAATATCAAAGCAATATTTTTACATAAACTCAAATAAATAGTTTTTTTCAGGTTGTCTTTTAAATTCATGTTATAAAGTTATTGAAATTTTAAAATTTTGATTACTATAATTGCTGCAGTATAAAAAAATGTTTTTACATGATTTTAAATAAATATCCGCATTTCCGAAGAAAAATATATACATTTACTACTCAAAAGTATTCATTCATACTTAAGGATACATAAATATTTCCAATATCATATTTATAAATATATAATTTATAATACTAATGTATTTTCTATGTTTAGGAAATTGAAATCATAAAAGCTATTTTAAACTTTTTTCACAAAACCATTTTCCTTTGGTGGCAATTTTCATGTTTCTTTCCCACATTCTACACACAGTTCAACTTTTAGTTATAGGTTCTAGAAATTCTTTTAATATCTCAGTTTTGTAACTTTTTATAAGATTAAAGCTAAATTTTGGAACAATAAAATTATATAAATCTATTACATGAGTAAGTTGAAGTCAATTGTGAAAGACTATATTTTTAAAATAATGAAAAAGAGTAAGAAAAAAAAATATTATATAAGCTACGCAGTTTCAATAAAGTGCTTACTTTTCACGAAATTTACTGCAAAATAAAAGAAATGAGTCCGATTGTTTTATATTAATCAATTGCAACTGTAACACATTAACTGAAATATTTCTGAGTTTTCGCTTTTTTGGAACTATTTCAAAAAGACATAAGGTAAGTTGACGAAAAATATTGTAAAAATTTAGAACGCATTTTAGTTTCTAACTAAGAGTTCATGGGATAAATGTGTTTTAATTTTAGAGTTCCGTTAACGCATCAAATATTTTTTAAATGAATAATTTAAACTATTATATACTACTTAGAAAATTAATTTAAAAATTCTGTATGATTATTTTTAAATAATTAACATAGTTATTATAGTTCATAATTTTTTTAAGAAATCTTAAAAATTTATAAAATAAAAAGAATTTATTTGATAACATAATTTTCAATCGAAATGATCTTGCTTTCTTAAAAAGAGAGGATCTTTCAAATTAGCTGGGAGTTAGGGCAAAATTATCCTCATTTACCTTGCTTTTTTATTTCATTATTATCAATAATAATANATATATATATATATATATATATATATATATATATATATATATATATATATATATATATATATATATATATATATATATATATATATATATATATATATATATATATATATATATATATATATATATATATATATATATATATATATATATATATATATATATATATATATATATATATATATATATATATATATATATATATATATATATATATATATATATATATATATATATATATATATATATATATATATATATATATATATATATATATATATATATATATATATATATATATATATATATATATATATATATATATATATATATATATATATATATATATATATATATATATATATATATATATATATATATATATATATATATATATATATATATATATATATATATATATATATATATATATATATATATATATATATATATATATATATATATATATATATATATATATATATATATATATATATATATATATATATATATATATATATATATATATATATATATATATATATATATATATATATATATATATATATATATATATATATATATATATATATATATATATATATATATATATATATATATATATATATATATATATATATATATATATATATATATATATATATATATATATATATATATATATATATATATATATATATATATATATATATATATATATATATATATATATATATATATATATATATATATATATATATATATATATATATATATATATATAAAACAATAAAATGAGGAAATTGTGATACACCACACTAAATATGAATGTTTGTAAAACACCATAAATTGTCAACATATGACATTCGGAATGCAGTTTTTGCACTAAATCGTGAAAAACCACCAAAGAAGTTTTCCCGCGCTTTTTCAGAAAAATGGGAATCCTCGAGGTATTTCTATTATCCTGAACTGTGGTGGTATAAAAGATAGCTAATGACGTTTAGAATAACAGAGGGAGAATAAAACTCTCGGAGATGTTTAACATCCATCACATGACTTGTTTTAGGGGTTAGCGGTTCCCCTTCTTGAATTCATCCCCCAGTCTCAGAAAGAGCCCACCAGAGGATCTAAATCTCTTATTTTTGCGTCCACGTGAAAAGGTAAAGGAATATTCATGAATTGGGCAGCTACTAAAAATGACACATTAAAAAACATTTGCATATTTCTTTACTAAATTTAATTATTTAGTTAAAAAGTGTTTATAATAAAAACAATAACATTAAAAAAAAACTTTTATAAAAAAAAAACTTAACTCTATACCTTTCTCAATTATAATGCATTATAATTTATTTAAAAATAATGTAAATCTTCTTTCCTCTGATATATAACTGGTGATGAAGTAATGTTATCCAGCATACAAAGTTACAAATTTCAATTAAGATGCATTTGTAAAGCTTGTGAAGATTAGTGCTACTTCAGAAACACTTATTGCATATATTACTAGAATAAGGTTCCTCATGAGTATGAACTCTAATGTAAATATTTAGATCAGAATTATTGAAAATTCATTTAATTCAATTCATATTGAAAATTCATCTAAAATATGGTGTATCACTTTTCTGAAAATGATTGTGTTTAGTAAGAGGACAGTTTTGAGATAAACTCTAATTACATTATGCTACAGAAAAAAGGTTTTTTCATTAATGTAAAGACAAACAGAAAAAGCGAAGTCAAACTTTTGAAATGAACTCTTTTTACATATGCTAATGCTACAGAAATGAAGTTTTTCATAGGTATGAATACAACTGTGATTACCTGGATAGTCTTTAAGTAAAAAATAATTTTTACAAATACAAGAATATAGCTTCTATAGATAGAATATAGCTAGATATACAAGGAGTGATCAAATGAAGAGGTCCGAAACCACGTAAAAAAGTAACAGTTAAGTATTTGCATATTCCGCCATGGGAAAACGTTGCAAGGCATCTCCAGATGCGATTGGAGTCTCTGACAGGGGCTCGGAGCATGCGCAGGAGAGAGCAGGGGCTCTTATCAAAAGCGGCGTCCAAATGATGCGGCAGTCCGCATGAGGAACAGAAACTCCAGCACAGAAAAACCATTAACTCCTATATGTACTGTGAGACACTCCGACGCTTACACAGGTTCATCAAGAACAAAAGACCGGGGCTGCTCACGGAGGGTGTGGTTCTGCTCCATGATAACGCGCGCCCACACGTCTCCAGATTCACACACGTGGAACTGGTTAAGTTCAAATGGGAGATGTTGGACCATTCGCCCTACAGTACGGACATGTCTCCCTACGATTTCCATGTGTTTGGTTCACTGAAGAAACACCTGAAAGGGAAGTGCTTCAGCTCGGACGGCGTACTCAAGGATGCTGTGAAGGACTGGGCCTCGTCACGGCCACAGGAATTCAGGGAACAAGAAATTCTGCGGCTTATTCATCAGTGGGATCGTTTTGCTCACGCCTATGGTGTATATTTTGAATAAAGTCTACATTTGTACCCACCGTGTCGTTTCGTACCTTTTCATTTGATCACCCCTTGTATTATCTCCGTCTGAAAAACTCTTATTACATAATATAAGAGTAAGGTTTCTCACCAGTATGAACACGACTGTGTTTAGTCAGTGTACTTCTTTCTGAAAAACTTTTATTACATATGCTACAAGAATAAGGTTTTTCACCAGTATGAACAAGACAGTGTTTAGTCAGTTTACTTCTGTCTGAAAAACTCTTATTACATATACTACAAGAATAAGGTTTTTCACCAGTATGAATACGGCAGTGTCTCATCAGATGGCATTTTCGTGAAAAACTGTTATTACATATACTACAAGAATAAGGTTTTTCACCAGAATGAACAAGTCTGTGATTAGTCAGATTATCTCTTCGTGAGAAACTCTTTTTACAAATACCACAAGAATAAGGTTTCTCCTCAGTATGAAATCGACTGTGTTCAGTCAGTTTATCTCTTTGTGAGAAATTCTTTTTACATATACCACAAGAATAAGGTTTCTCCTCAGTATGAAATCGACTGTGTTCAGTCAGTTTATCTCTTTGTGAGAAACTCTTATTACATGTACTACAAGAATAAGGTTTTTCACCAGTATGAATACGGCAGTGTCTCATCAGATGGCCTTTTTGTGAAAAACTGTTATTACATATACTACAAGAATAAGGTTTTTCACCAGAATGAACAAGTCTGTGATTAGTCAGTTTATTTCTTCGTGAGAAACTCTTTTTACATATACCACAAGAATAAGGTTTCTCCCCAGTATGAAATCGACTGTGCTCAGTCAGTTTATCCCTTCGTGAAAAACTCTTTTTACATATACCACAAGAATAAGGTTTCTCCCCAGTATGAAATTTAATGTGTTGAGTCAAATTATTTCTAAGTGAAAAACTTTTATTACATATACTACAAGAATAAGGTTTTTCACCAGTATGAACAAGACTGTGTTTAATCAAATTACCTCTACATGAAAAACTTTTATTACATATACCACAAGAATAAGATTTTCTTACAAGATGAATAACACTATGTTCAATAAGTTTATTTTTCTGAGAAAAACTTTTTTTTCCCATGCTGCATGAACAAGGTTTCTCAACTGAGAGCAGAAAAATGTGAACAATTTGATGAAAAGTAGTGCAAGAAATAAATTTCTAGTTAATATAAAAAGTATTAACTATCGGTCACTCTTGCTTACTCGAAATTTTTTTATCACATACACTACCAGAGTACTAAGCAACTACTTATTCACTACATAAACTACAAACATTAAATTACTTTGTATAGAATTATTTTTGTGTTAGAGCATCATTATCTCTATGACACACATTACACAGACATTATTTGCTGGTAGTGTCCGAACATAGAATGTTACTACCAAATAAAGTGATATTGTCTTTAATGAAATTTTCTTCTGTCAGGAAGCATTTAACACACACTGCATGAATAGTTTATTAATAATATAAATCGTTCAAGAAAATCATTTCCAGCGACATAAAGAAGATAATATATGAGATAAGAAGATAATATAAAATATAAAGATCTGCATGGAAATAACCTTACAAAAGCATTTTCTATACTTTTTCCCATTACTATTACAGGGAATTTACTTTATATTGATAGAGTTTTTTGATAGGCAGGTTTATATAGTCGAGTATATATAAGACAGTTTTATTGCCCTGTAAGAATATATCTTCGAAATTTAAATAGGACATTAAGTAATGAATAAAGACGAAACAATTTAATGAAGTCTTCCTTTACACAATTGGGGTTAATAAAAATCTTCCTCAGTATAGGTGAGGTAGTCTGTTTATAAAGTTGTTTACGTTATTAGTCGCTTATTTCTACTATTCTGATCTCCAGGTTCTTGGAACAGTTTATGACCAGTAGCATAACCAGTAGTATGACCAGTAGCACTTATCGCATTCTTAAAAGAGCATTTTTACTGTATGGCAGAAAATCGCATATACGATTTCTTACCAGTAGCATTAGTCATCACGAGCTGGAAGTATGTTTGGAGGGAGAAAGCGTCGATCGCTCTACTACGTTAATGTGAGCGATTCAAAGCTTGTCCTATTTTTATTTAGATTTTTTTATTTAAGAAGATTATGAAAGGATCCTTTCTGGATTATAATTACAAGGAACAATTGTATCAAAGGTGAATCGAAAAATTTCTATACTATGCACTTTAAACATGAGCTGTTTACTATTTTAGTCTCTAAGCTCTATTTAGTCTCTTTATTTATATAAGTGAATTTATATAATATTATATATTTATATAAGTACTATTTTAGTCTCTTTATTTATATAAGTGAAAGTAGAACATTTTATTAGGAATGTTTTCGTTTAGTATTGTTATATAACATTGTTCGTATCTAATATTTTAACACCGAATGTGAGCCAAATCAGGAGCAAGAATTTATTTCTCCAATGACGGTAACAAACTTCACTTTCCCCTGGGAAACTATGCCACCGTTTTTCAGGGTGAGGTCTATACCATTATCTTGTGCTGCGAGTTATGCTTAGACAAGGGATATCAAAATACGACTATCCGCATCTGTTCTGACAGTCAGGCTGCTCTCCTATCACTGTCAAGGTGTAAATTCACCTCTTTGTTACTGTGGGAATGCTTCTCGGTCCTCTGTGACCTGTCCGCTCATAACAAGGTATCCCTGCATTGGGTACATGACCTGGACATATGGGTATTTTTGGAAATGATGATGAAGCAGCACGGGCTGGCTCTAATGCAATTTTCTGGGGCCCTGAACCTGCGCTGGGAATTTCCCCCTCCTCATTTAGGGCAGCCATTTTCAAGCTCTACGGCAAGATTGCCCATGAGCAATAGCGCGCTGCTGGCGGTCAGAGACAAGCTAAGGAGCTGAATCGAGACTGTGCTAGTGTATACGTCAAAAGGAGCTCTTAAAGTTTAATAGAAACAGTATAAGGAAGATCATAGGTCTTCTTACTGGTCACTGTATCCTCAGGAGACACCTACACATTATGGGAATAGAAGCCAATTCTCTTTGTCGGGGTTGTCATCTAGAAGAAGAGACATCACGACACATACTTTGCGTCAATGCCTGGGAACTGCAAGATGTTCCTGTAAGGTGCTTGCTGAACTTTATTTCAGCTATAGGGCTTTCTTGCTAATCACGACTAGGGTTTGGGTGCAATACACCTCTGGTCGATGTGCCCTGCTCGTCAGAGCTGCCCAACCTCTAAGTCTAGTCTAGTCTAACTAGTGGGTTGTGCCCCCTGCTCTCTAACGCACGCCAACCCCCGAAAATTGGTACACAATCTTATAATGGTTTGCTTTGCAAACCAAGCTCGCTTCTATCTTAGGTACATTGCAAATACACAAAATTCTAAGAATTCAAAACAATCATTCAAATCCATATAAAAACTTTTTTTTTTAAAAAAAATTACATATCTTTTGTAAATACTAAGTCATTAAAATGAATTTGAACTCAAATAAATGACATGTAATTCGTTAAACCTATTAGAAATGTGCCATAGTATAAAATCTTAAAGCGTAACAGCACGACTGAGACTCATTTTTCAATGAATAACTAATAACAATAATAAAACAAATAAATTCGTGATATAAATCAAAAATAGTCAAATAAATTCGCAATATATAAATTCGTGAAAAAAAGCGCTGTCGACAAAATACTAAAATAGAGATCCATCGACAAAGACTACTCACTTCTGCCTAGCTTAAGGTTATTTCAGTTTCCGTTTTTAAAAGCGCTATACGTTGAGCCACCTCAGCTAGATTCGGCATGTGGCATTTTTAGCGGCAATCATTGGTCGATTTTCTAGCGTTGCCATTCGCATTCGGGGAGTTGTAATGAGGCTTTTTTTGTCGCCGTGTAAGAGAAATATATATGTTACGGCCAAAGCCCGAAGTCCGGCCAGATCACGAATTGGCCGGCCCTCTTGGCCAAAGTCCGAATTTTTTTTTTACTACGCGAAGTGGCCGAGGATGGCTGGCCAAAGTCCGAAATAATTGAAACGATCAATGAATATTTTACCTTGGCGGCCTTCTATAATTATATAAATAATTCTTATAAATCTTCTGATTTAAAAATAAAAAAAATAGAAGTTTTTAAGTTGTCTATTAAATAATCATTAATTTAATAATCATTATTAAATTGTCTATTTAATTGTCATGTATACCAAAGGTTTAGTCACATTAGGTCTAGTTAAGTACCACTGCCCGGTATACCCTACACTGATGTTTTTTTAAGGTTCAGTGCCACTGCCCGGTATACATTTCCCCGGTATATCCTACACTGATGTTTTTTTAAGGTCAAGTGCCCCTGTCCGGTATACATTTACCCGGTTTGCCTGGTATAATGATTTTTTCTTCCAACTTTGGCCCATGCCAATTCGCGATTTGTGCGGTCCATTCCCGAAATCAAGAAAAATTTCGGACTTTGGCCAGCTAATTTACAGCGTTCTTGGCCAAATCACGATCTGGCCGGCAAGATCGCGAATTGGCCGACTTCGGGCTTTGGCCGTAACATATATATAGATTATTTTTATTTTATAATTAATTGAGATGGATGGCGTTTTCAATATAAATGTAAAAAATAACAATCTCGAGCTCGGTACCTGCTCTAGTTCCGGTTAAAACGTTTGCAGCTACTTACTACATGTTATTCTGAGAGCCGACATTTTCAAACAAATAATTTTGTTTTCATCAAAAGAAGTAAATTAGATGATTTCTGAGCTCAAATCTGCTGTATTTCATAAGATATTAATGTTATTAAGTAATTCTGGAGAGTTTAAAGTGAAAATTTGTTGTAGTTATTTACAGATATATTGTAAAAAAAGATGACATGGTTGCTAGATTTTGAATAACTCGCTTTTTGGCAGTCGTGATTTAGTCTCTTTCCATTTGTTTATTAATGTTTGTTCTTGTTGCAAGCTGTGCACCATCTTACGTCAGTGTTAACACTTTCAACATTGTAAATACAAGTATCGTTTGCATCGTAAACACAAGTAATAAGTAATCATATACCACGTTTGCAAGAATCTCAAAACACAATGATGCTAAATGGCTTTAAAATACAACGGAAACAGTAACCCGGAAATTTAGGTGGTATCGAGCTTGCAGCGTTCCTTGGTGTAGAAAACACCATATTATCAATTTTGAATGTCATCGGCAATGTAAAAAAAAAAAAAAAATCGGAATCTTTATGTAAGAAAACTAGATCATATAATATAGCAAGTGATTTTCTGACTTAGAAGAATGAGATCACATTAATGGTTGCTTGCTTGTTGTTTATTTGCGTCGCACTAGAGCTGCACAATGGGCTATTGGCGACGGTCTGGGAAACATCCCGGAGGATGATCCGAAGACATGCNTAATTTCAGAAATAATATAGCAAGTGATTTTCTGACTTAGAAAATTAGATCACATTAATGGTTGCTTGCTTGTTGTTTATTTGCGTTGCACTAGAGCTGCACAATGGGCTATTGGCGACGGTCTGGGAAACATCCCGGAGGATGATCCGAAGACATGCCATCACAATTTTGATCCTCTGCGGAGGGGATGGCACCCCGCTTCGGTAGCCCGAAGACCTGCGTGCGATTTCGAGCACTTTACGGTAGCACAGTTTAACGAGGACACATACCGCACACCCTCGGTCCCTACGCCGACTGATCCAAGTGGTCACCCACCCGCACACTAACCGCAACCAGTGATGCTTGACTTCGCTGATCTGCTGGCATGGGTGCAAGTTGGAAAAAAGGCCAAGAATGAAATTTTTTTAACTGAAATACCTAACATACACAATACCCCCTCGACCTATGCAAAATGTCTGAGAAAGCTTTACCATAATACATCAAGTTTAAATACTGTACAAAAGATATTTATTCATTTCTCCTTTGATAAAATAACAACAGGACATAAGAAAGTAGACCAAACCAATAACGTAGACCTGAAAAATATTTTTCAGTAGTATAGAGAGTAGGCCTAAAAGTATTTTTAAGAACAGAAAAAAAAATTTCCGTCTTGGAGTCGGGTCTTGTTTCCGTCCGCGGACGTTTTCGAAAGACGGAAATCCGTCCTGGGGACGGAAGACTTGCACCCATGTCTGCTGGGAACCGTGTCTTAACGATCAGTCCACTGCGGGACCCACATTAATGGAAAACGGTTTTTATGTTAGAGAAACACAAAATTTAATTGTGATCTTACCCTAGATCTTCAATTCTGGCGCATGAGTGGGAAAAAGAGATCTGTCAATGCTCTCCGATAAATTGTCCCTTAGCTCAAGCGTCTTCAGAAAACGAAGTGGTGCAAAAATATCTGCTCATTTATTTGACACTTCAGAATTCGAACAGCAATCACTCTTCCATTTGCAACTCTCCCGCAATCGGAATGCAAATAAAGCAACGTTGACCGTATTGCCACTTCAATTATGGTAATCACGAAGTGCAGACGATATTGTAAGTTTCGAAATAAGACAGGAAAACGTACTTTCTCTGAATAAACATGTTTTTTTTTTAGACAGATTCGGATTTCAGACCCTAAAATATAGGGGCTAGATGGTATCTCGGAAATATGGTTCCAATCGTTCGGTCAGGAAAGCACTCCAAAGTTTGGACCACTTAATGTTAATTTTATTTTTTACTTATTTCGCTATATCTCGAGAATTTTGTAAGCAAATTGGAAACCTTTGCCCACAATTTTAAAATTCGTTTATCCAAATATAATTTTAGGCGAAAAATAACTTTTTTTAAAATATTTATTTTTTTAAATATTTTATTTAAAAATGGTCAAAAAATTTTTAAACTGTAAGGTACAGAATTTTTTGTCATTTTTAAGAATATAACCCCGCACAGCAAAATACAAAATTTGAGCGAAATCGATCGAGCGGAACTATTTGAGCGAAATCCATCAAAGAAGTTCCTAAGAAATCAAATTTTGAATTTTGCCATGAAAAAATATAATCTTTAAAATGATACAAAGCATTGTATCCCTGACAATTGGATAAATAATCTTTATAATTAGATAAAAAATTTCAATTAACTTAAAAAGTTCTAAAGATATAGCACGATATGCAAAAATGAAAATAAACAATAAAGGGTGCAAACTTTGGACCACATTCAGAATCGAATTCGTCGAAAAAAACATATGTTTATTCAGAGATAGTAATTACCTCATATGAGAACTGAAAGGATTACACAACAGGAGAAAAATGAAAAGCAATAACATTTAGAATATCACCATGGGAATACCATAACAGAAGCCGAAAAGTATTTTACGGGAATAACGTCCTAAAAATTGAACGGGACAAACATTAAGCGAATTAAAGTGGAGGTATGGACATTCATGGCAGCTTCAAAAAGGGGGCATTACCGTGATTCAGGGCGGGAGTAGTTTCTGCTGTTGGCAGTTAATTACCGCAAACAGCCATACCTCGACTGCTCCAAGAGAAAAGAACTTAATCAATACTTTCGGAAAAAATAAAATTTCAAAAAAAGCTAGAGCTACATTCATAAATAAAATTGGCTATTTCAGTACGTCAAATTCTAGTTTGTAATTGCATCCCTGCAGCCAGCATAGTGGTGCGCATGATCCTTTGTGCGACAAGTGTAGCATTTTGATTTGTTCATTTACATCGCACTAGAGCTGAACAATGGGCTATTGGCGACGGTCAGGGAAATATCCCTGAGGATAATCCGAAGATATTCCATCACAATTTCGATCCTCTACAGAGGGACCTGCACGCGAACTCGGACACTTCACGGTAGAACAGTTTAACGAGGATCAATACCACACACCCTCGGTCCCTACGCAGACTGATCCAAGTGGTAACTCCCCTGCACACTGACCGCAACCAGTGATGCTTGACTTCAGTGATCTGCTGGGAGCAGTGTCTCAACGATCAGTCCACTGCGGGACACAACAAGTTTAATAGTTTTGCGACAAGTTTCAAACCAATAAACAAATGCTATTTTTTTTAAAAAAATTATTTCCTCATATTCCCTGAGTATTTTTCTACAAACATATTGTGATTTGACAATTCTCGAACTCTTATAATTTCTATGCAGCAAAACAAAGCTCAACACTCACAATTGCAGCAGTTTGCACAATTTTTTTTAATTCAGAGAGATATTTTCGATAACCAAGTAATATTTTGAAATGCTTTTGTAAATAATACAATTTGTTGTTAAATAATTAACAATAAAAAATTACGATAGTTTATTCTTGGTGTATTGAAAATGGAGTTGAACAAATAAAGGTTCCACTCCTTCAATAGCTTAGAAACCAGCTAGGCTTGAATTCGGTTTTGTAGGGTTGGAGGACTGCTAGAAGAATTGTATTCGACTTCGTTACCATTCAAACTTATTCCATTACCTATAATAATAATAGAAACACTTATGGTTTTTGATATTTTAATAAACTTCTCAAGAAATACTAAGTTAATTCTATAATTTCAGAAATGGTTAGGTCATGCGATTTTTTATGCTTATCAATAAATTTTACAGCTTTCAGGGATTTGAAAAGCCCTTGAAATATTTTTGAAAACACTGTACTTGAAAATACAACAATAAGCTTGTAACTTGTATTTATTAGTTTGGTAATTATTAGCAATTATTGCATAAAATTTCCCAAACTTAGCTTTAATACTAATAAAAGTATGGCCTTATTTATATATAAAAATTTTTTTAATTTATTTTGTCTTTATTGGCTATAACTCCAATATGAATATCTTGAAAATTCACAAAGCTTCTAGTAATATTCTAAATAGTACTTGTATTTTTAAAAGAAACCTCTAAATAATACAGGGTTTTAAAGAAATTTCATTTTGCCTCATAAGACGAAATTAAACAACAAATGATACCTTACAATAGTACACTGAAATGTGATGATATAAAGAAAGAAAGCATACTTTCATGGAGGATGATCTCCCAAAATGCTGCTGTCATTTCAAATAAATCTTATTGAATAGTACAAAATAAAATTTGGGGGGAAACTCATTCAGAGCTTTCTTTTAAAAAGTGCAAAAACTGATTAGAAAATAGCTAAAAACTTTATAAATGTTCAAGATATTCGAATTAATCTTTTTCATAAGACACTGAATGCAATTCGATGCGACATTTTATTAAGAAAATTTTTTTTTTACTTTTTCTCAGGGCATGCGAAGTATGTAAGAACTACTTTAAATGCTCAGATCTTCCGCAATTTTATCTTTAACTTTAAAATAATAATTTGCTTAATAATTAAAAACTGTTCTGAAAATATTTTTGATAATTTTTTTATATTATAGCCAAATTTTTGTTTTACATATATATTTATGCTAGGTTTACGAAATTTAATTCAACTATTGAAAATAAAAACCGATGTAATCAAAGCAAGTTACAAGTTAATGGCTATATTTTTCTGTCATAGAGTGATCAAAAATACTTGTTTAGTTCCTAATTTATTATCACTCCCTTAAGCCTGTGAAAGCTTTGAAACTTATTAATAAGTATGAGAAATTACCTGACATAAACATCTCTAAATAACAAAATAATTCTCTCAGTACTTTTCGAGATATTTAAAAAAATTTCAAAAACTGAAAGTGTTTCCTCCATTACTATAGAGCAGTGTAAGCTGTACTAAATAATTTGGAAAGGTGATCAAGCTCCCTGCTAAAGGCGGTTAGTACTCAATACTTTTGATAATTTTATTCAGAACTATGGCAATTTAAGAGTATTTATAATTATTTTAACATCAAGTAAATTGAAAAATAATTATTAAAAAAAAATGGACATGAATGAAATGAACATGACTATGAGCAACAAAAAAAACTACCTATTTTGTGACGATATTTTATTACATACAAAAACTAGGTTATTCAACATTAGAAACTTGATTAATAAGAAAGTTGAACATTTACATAAAATATGAGGATAAATTACTTCAAATGAACATTATTATAATAACTACAGCACTAATTTGCTTTCAAAAAATTCTTAAAAAATAAGAATAAATTTTATAGAATGTCTGTTACAAATTTTTCATTAGGAAATTCGCAAATGCAATTTTAATGTAACGGGATTTTATATTAATTGAATGCAAACAAAAGAAATAAAATAATATTTGTACCAGATATGGAAATTGTACTAAAAATAATAAACTTTAAAAAACATCTTTCATAATTTTTCTAAACTTTATTTCTGTATCCGTTATGCCGCAAAACACAGTATAAGCATAAATTAAATAAAGAGCATTTTATTTTAATGACATATAAAAAAAAATAGAAATATTCATCACAAAATATTGAAAATGTGCTGAACCATTTTAAGAAAAGAACTACAAATTAATATCACACACTTACACATAAAGACCTTATAACAAAAAAGTTATTAAAGGAGTATTCATGAATTGGGCAGCTATTAAAAAACGATATTAAAAACATTTGCATACTCCCTTATTTAATTATTTAGTAAATAGTGTTAGGAATTTAAAAAAAAAAAAAAAATTGATTTACTAGTTTTTATTATCTTTTTAACGATTTGAGTTATCTTTTGCGTTCCTTAAAAGTTTGGTTGAATATAGGTTCTCAAATGTTAAAATGTGATTAAAAAACAAGAAGTTGATTTTATGAAGCAATCTATACCACTTTCTCTATACCTTTCTCAATCATAATGTAACCTAATCTATTTAAAAACAATGTAAACCTTTCCTTAAATCATATCAAAAATATTTTGCATTTAAAAGAAATAAAAAATTTTAATTATGTGTGCTAGATAGGATTCATTAAGTAAAACATGCTGCATGTTATTTTGATTAAAAATTTCAATTAAAAAAAATGAATATTATCTTCAACTTGGTACTCTAATGCTGAGAGAATAAATAACAATTTATGATTTTGTGAAGAATAACTGGTGGGTAAGTGATGTTATATATAACAGGTGATAAAGTAATGTTATCCAGCATACAAAGTTACAATTTCCAATTAAGATGCGTTTGTAAAACTGTATTTTAATTAAAATTCTTAACTTTTCTATACTGAAGTTTTTTTTATAAGCACTACTTATAAATAAACACAAGAAAGGAAAAATGATGAAAACTAAAAGATAAAATTTAAAACTATTTGAAAAGAAAATGCTTAATTAATTCCAATAGAATGTTTTTAGTCAGATGACATTTCAGTTAAATATATATATATAATACGGATAGGTTAATACACAGTACGGATATGACTGTGTTCAGTCATTCTACTGTATAGTGAAAATCTATTTTACACATGCTGCAATAATTCATAACTTACACCAGTAAGAGTCAGAATATGATAAGTTAAAGAAAAATCTCTTTGGACATATATGAGAAGAATAAGGTTCCCCACCAGGATCAATAAACATATGGTTAGTAAGATTAGTTCTTGTTCAGAAACACTTATTGCATATATTACTAGAATAAGGTTCCTCACGAGTATGAACTTTAATGTAAATATTTAGATCAGAATTATTGAAAAATCATTTAAAATATACTTCCAAAATATGGTGTATCACTTTTCTGAAAAAGATTGTGTTTAGTAACAGGACATTTTTGAGGTAAATTCATATTACATTATGCTACAAAAAAAAGGTTTCCTCACTAACTAGAAGACAAACAGAAAGAGCAAAGTCAATCTTTTGAGAAAAGCTCTTTTTGTATATGCTACAAAAATAAAGTTTTTCATAGGTATGAATACAAATGTGATTATCTGGACAGTCCTTAAGTAAAAAATAATTTTTACAAATACAAAAATATAGGTTTCTAAACAGTGTAAGCAAGAATCCGTTTAGCCACATGATCTATTGTCGAATGCTTTTTTTTTTTCATATACCAAAAAAATAAGGTTTCTTGCCAGTATGAACACAAATGTGCTTAGATACATTACCTCTGTCTGAAAAACTCTTATTACAAAACACAAGAATAAGGTTTCTCCCCAGTATGAACACGACTGTGCTTAGTCAGTGCTCTTCTTTCAGAAAAACTCTTATTACATGTACTACAAGAATAAGGTTTTTCACCAGTATGAAGAAGACTGTGTTTAGTCAGTGTACTTTTATCTGAAAAACTCTTATTACATATACTACACGAATAAGGTTTTTCACCAGTATGAACACGACTGTGCTTAGTCAGTGTACTTTTTTCTGAAAAACTTTTATTACATATGCTGCAAGAATAAGGTTTTTCCCCAGTATGAACAAGACGGTGTTTAGTCAGTGTACTTCTATCTGAAAAACTTTTATTACATATGCTACAAGAATAAGGTTTTTCACCAGTATGAACACGACAGTGTTTAGTCAGTGCACTTCTTTCCGAAAAACTTTTATTACATATGCTACAAGAATAAGGTTTTTCACCAGTATGAACAAGACTGTGTGTAGTCAGTGTACTTCTATCTGAATAACTTTTATTACATATGCTACAAGAATAAGGTTTTTCACCAGTATGAACAAAATTGTGTTTAGTCAGTGTACTTTTTACTGAAAAACTCTTATTACATATGCTACAAGAATAAGGTTTTTCACCTGTATGAACACGGCAGTGTTTTATCATGTGGTATTTTTGTGAAAAACTTTTGTTACATATACCACAAGAATAAGGTTTTTCATCAGTATGAAGAAGGCTGTGTCTATTCAGCGTTCTTTTATATGAAAAACTCTTATTACATATACTACAAGAATAAGGTTTTTCACTAGTATGAAATAGACTGTGTTCAGTCAGTCTATCTCTTCGTGAGAAACTCTCATTACATATACTACAAGAATAAGGTCTCTCACCAGTATGAACACGACTGTGTGTCGTCAAATTATGTCTAAGTGAAAAACTTTTATTACATATATCACAAGAATAAGATTTTCTTACAGGATAATTAACACTATGTTCAATAAAATTACTTTTCTGAGAAAAACTTTTTTCCCCCATACTGCATGAACAATTTGATGAAAAATTCTGATTACATGTACTGCAAGATATAAATTTCTAGTTAATATAAAAAGTATTAACCATCGGTCACTATCGTCTTCTTTAAAAAATTATATCGCATATACACTACCAGGGAACTAAGCAACTACTTATTAACCACACTTGGAAACTTATAAGCACATCAACTACAAACATTAAATTTTTTTGTACGAAATTATTTTTGAGTTAGAACGTCATTATCAGTATGACAAACATTACACAGACATTATTTGCTGCTAGTATCCGAACATAGAATGTAACTATCACATAAAGTGATATTGTCTTTAATGATATTTTCTTCTGTCAGGAAGCATTTAACACACACTGCATGAATACCCTATTAATAATATAAATCATAAAGGAAACATATTCTGCTTACTGTCAGCACGAAGAATATATATATATATATATTTTTAATCATTTCCAGCCACATTTACTTCCCATATAAAGAAGACAATATATGAAAATAATATATGAATATGATTTGCATGGAAACAACCTTTTTAAAGCACTTTTCGATATTTTTTTACCATTACTATGAGGGCAATTTACTTTATATTGGTAGGGTTTTTGATTGGAAGGTTTATACAGTTGAGTATATATAAGAGAGTTTTATTACATTTCATACCCCAGTACGAATATATCTTCGGAATTTGAATAGGACATTAAGTAATGAATGAAGACAAAACAAATTTATAAAACCTTCCTTTACACAAATGGGGTTAATAAAAATCATCCTCAGTATAAGTGAGATAGCCTGTTTTAATTTAGTTTATCTCAGTAAAAAGTTTTTAAACAAACAAGTGCAAAATTGCGGTAGACGGAAAAAGTTGTTTACGTTATTGGTCGCTTATTTCTATTCACACGATCTTCAGGATTTTGGAAAAGTTTATGACCAGTAGATGTCGCTATTACTGAATATAAGCTTATGGGTCTCTATCTTTTAAGGAATTGGTAACTAATTTTAAACCATAGTTTCTACTACAGAATGGCAACAAGGAAATGATAACGTCGGATCAATGGGCTTTTCGCATTGTGATTGGCTGTTGACTATCACTCATGGTTGCAAGAATTTGGGAAGTTATCGCGTTTATTGTGAATTAAAATAAAAATTTCAATAATTTTGTGCACGCCTGTCTGTGTTCTCGCGTAATCTCGTACTTGGTGTGATGAAACAATTGGTTCATTGATGGATTGTGTTTACATTTATTTCGTAAACAGCCACTGGAAAAGAGGAGATTTGTGTTTAAAAAAGAAATTAGGCGAAAATGTTTTCGAATTTTTAGATATTTATAAATGTAACAATAAAAATGAATGTTTTCTTTGCTATGTTTATTATTTGTTTTTAAATAAAAGTATGTCATTTTGATATTAAGAGTATGTTCTTAATACTTTGCTCTTAATACTTTTAAATTAAGTATTCTCTTATAAAAGCTTAGCTGCAATATTTATATAATTTTCTTACATTCTGTTGTAAGGAAAAGAAAATTCGGATCTAAATTAAAAGAATAATTATGCCATGTAATGTCTAATCATCCTATGCATATTTCCTAACATTTGTACTTAATTATTAAGCATTATAATTGTAACATAAAAAATAATTCTGGAGTAAAGTTCAAATTGATGTTTAAGTGTTTATATATTATGTTTATTCGACATTAAAAGTGTTTCTACTTCTAACATTTTATAAATGAATTTGTAACCCGCAGTTTTAATAAAATAAAATTATCGCTAGTTAATAAAACTATGGCAAGAGAAAAATTATCGGTAAAATTTTTATGTGGTTATCAATTATTATATATTTATTTGGAAGTAATGAAAAGTAATAATATATTTGTGAATCTAAGCACATCATGATAAGC